TTGATTGAGGATTGGAAGAGATGGGGGGAGTGTCTCTACGTGATTTGGAGGGTTTGGGGAATCAAATATATTCTCCTACTCCGTAACTGATAAACTGGCTAAAACGGTACGCGCTTTTTCGCCCAAACTGTTCCGTTTTGAAAACGGGTCGCGTTTTTGGAATCAGATTGTCAAAACTAGAATTTTGATATAATTAAAATATTTTTCTGGAAACTTTTATTTTTCAGTGTTCGGGTCTGCCTCAGTCATTAACTAATTTTTAAATTAATTAATTCTTTTAGGCCTAATTTCGGGGCGTTACAAAGGTTGTGCTGTCTATAGCTTCTAACAAGTAGTTTCTTTGAATTTTATCAAACAAATCGTTAGTACGTATTGAAGGGTAGTGATTCTTAATCGTCAATTTGTCAATCTTTCTTAACAGGGATTTGGTGGTATCGTGACCATAATTCAATCTTAGAGAATACAATGGATCCTCTAAGCTGATCAAATAAGTCATCGATACGAGGTAAAGGATAACAGATTGTTCAATTGACAGTAGTTGATACAGAGTCTCATCGATCCTTCTTTATTCGCGTATGGACAGAACAAGTATCCTCCTAAGGAGGAAACACTTGGTCAGATGAGTCTTTGTCAAGTGATCTTTAGAGTTAAGTTTTCAATCTCAATGAAACATCGTTCAATATAGAGATGAATATCGGTCCTTTCCAAGAACAAGATCGTTAGAGAATTCAATTTCTCGAAATGATGAGAAATTAGGAATTTCATTTCAGAGAGGTGACTTACTTTCGATATGACCTTTAGTTCAAAAGTTTCTTTTTGTGTATCACTCGAAATAGACTTCACATTTTTGTACAAACGGAATGAGTTTGCGTATACATTTGAGACAAACTCAGTCGGTTTAGAAATCAGCTTTGATTTCACCTCTATGAGGTTACCATCATCGGTCTTCAATTGAATAATTTTTCGTCAAGAGTTGTCAATAGCGACGACGTTCAGTCAGTGAATTCATACTAAGGATAATGTCAATTCCTTGTATGGTATTTCAACGAGGTTTTGCAAGGGATTCTTGTTCAACGTACAATTTCAATTCACACAATATAATCGCATATTGTATTGTAATGAGTTAGACAACATAACGGGATATTTTAGATAACGGGGTTTATTGATTCTAAACGTTCGTGTTTGAATCATCGATCAGTTCGTGTTGAGTCTACATGAGGATCTTCGACACTGGATTCACAGATGTTCTTCAACATTGATCGTTTCTTAAGAGTTGTTTAGTTTTCATGTGATTTTGGGGTACAAATAAATTTTCAGTTTCATCATTCGCGTTGTGATAATTATGTTGATAACGTATAAGGGAGTCATACATTTTTTGTTTATTCAATCGTCTCTTCACCGAGTATAAAAGTTCAACTAAAGTCTACGCTCGATACAATTTCAGCACTAATCAATTGTTATCTAATGAGAATTCTAACAGAGTCAATATTTACCAAGTAAATTCTCATACCTTTTCCTGGAGCAGAGGGATGTGAGAGTCGTGGATGTGACCAACATTTTTTTTAAATCAAATTTTGATCCGAAGATCGGTTTTAAAACCATTTGCTCCGATACCAAATTGTAACACCCTAATCCGTCCAAGTCTGCAGTCCTTTTCGGACTATAGTATTTACTTGGTAATCGTAAAAATTTAAAACATTTCAAACACTTTTATTTATCACAATAATATTTTTCACAACATATCAGTACGGAGTTTTCAATATTGCGGAAACTTAACAAATCATAATCACCAACATAATTATTTATGTTCTTCATTTCAAAACTATCACATCATTTCGACAATCTCGCCTCTGTGTGCCTCTAGGATCATGTCACATCATCCTTTCCATTAACCTGCGTGTAGCAGATAAAACATACTACACACTCAGCGTTGAAGCTTAGTAAGCATATCTAATGCGTCGAACATCCATATAAATTGATACTCAATTCATAATCAAATCATTTGATATCACGCACATAATGTTCAATTCAAATATTCAATAATCAATATTCAAGTATTTAGCATTCATCATTCGTTATTCAACATTAATATTCATATTCAACATTCATCATTCATATTCATCATTCATATACGGCATTCCTCAGTCATTCATAATATTCACAATATTCATTTCAAGTCATTTACCGTTCATGATATTCACAATATTCGGTTCAAGTCGTTTCATGATATATACAATATTCCACATTCAGTATTTCAACTGTGCTCTTAAACTATTCTTAATCAAAGGCACTAATTTTAACCAATTCTTAAACAAATTCTAGTTTAAGGTTTTTAAACTATATTCCAGTTTAAGGTATTCCTAAACAACCCTTAAGCTAGACCTAGTTTAAGATACAATTTTCAAAAGGGGTTTTCATAATCTTAAACTTACCTTTGTTTATGGTCAACAAGAAACCAACAGCGTAGTGTTCATTGTTGGGTTGGGTGGTACCCCCAAATGAGTAGGTACTCAAGTTTAGTTCTTGAATCCCATACATACCTTTTAACCCTGACCACCGGGCATCATACCCGCAAGGTCTATGGGTATATCTTAGAGTTCTTCTAGATACCCTTTAAAATGAACATCACTATGGGTATATCTTAGAGTTATTCTAGATACCCTTGAAATCAATATCAATTAACTAAAATGGTCATTTGGGTATATTTTAGAGTTATTCTAGATACCCTTCAAATCATCATTAATATGGGTATATCATAGAGTTATTCTATATACCCTTTAACAATACACATTGTTTTCATAATCATCAATATATTCATTTTTAATCATCATTCAATCATTCACAGTTATCATTTTAATTAGTTGGTTCATCATATCATAATCATCATAATAATGATTCATCATAATCATCAATCAACATAACATCCAATAGCAATTAGCGGCCCAGATTTGAGTGTTAACACCCTAGCTTACCGTCATGCATCACGTATGGTCTTTTTAGTTGTCAAAACATCATTTTTATTCCACGAAATCATCTTTATATTAGTCATAATTCATTGGTATCAAAAATAGCATTTTCGGAAATATTTTTGGGTCAAATTTTCGGGAGATCGATCCACACTAGGAGAAACAACTCCCAGGGGATCGATCCAGCCTCTGTATTTTTGGTCACTGTTCATCTTCTTCTTCGTTTCGGGTCCAATTTTGAAAATACAATTTTTAGTCACCGAACTTCAATTAAATTATATAGAAATATTCTCCAAGATTCATAGATAATTTTGGTATCATTAATTCATAGTTTTAACAACAATTTCATGATTTATGATTCTTGGTTCTTCAAACATGTCAAA